TATCTATCTATCTATCTATCTATCTATCTATCTATCTATCTATCTATCTATCTATCTATCTATCTATCTATCTATCTATCTATCTATCTATCTATCTATCTATCTATCTATCTATCTATCTATCTATCTATCTATCTATCTATCTATCTATCTATCTATCTATCTATCTATCTATCTATCTATCTATCTATCTATCTATCTATCTATCTATCTATCTATCTATCTATCTATCTATCTATCTATCTATCTATCTATCTATCTATCTATCTATCTATCTATCTATCTATCTATCTATCTATCTATCTATCTATCTATCTATCTATCTATCTATCTATCTATCTATCTATCTATCTATCTATCTATCTATCTATCTATCTATCTCTCTATCTCTCTCTCTCTCTCTCTCTCGTATATGTACTTTATTTAGTCATTTGTCTGTCCATTTATGGTATGTGTATATTATACATATATATTTGTGTTTTTTATTTATATAGTTGGATTCAGTTATATTACTTTGTTTTCGCATCTAACTTTATTAACCTCACCTAACTTTCTCATCTGAGCCTTTCACTCATACGAAGAAAATCACATTGATTCTGGCGAACTCGTAAAGAAATTTGCGTTCATGTTAGAAAATGAAAAACGGAATTGATGTGTTTATGTTGGAGAATTAGAGAATGGATGATAATTTTGTTGTTGGAGAACTGGAAGTATTTTCTTAGAATATGAAAAAATGATTATGGATAATCTATGTTCATTTAAAAAAAAAAGAAATTTTATACTTATGTAGGAGGGGTAGAGAGTAGAGAATGGAGAGGTCGAGGGAGACTGCTAGTTCAGTCACTGTTAAGATATTTACTCGTATGAATAGTGTATACACATTAAAAGAAAATGACTCGCTCTTTGTTCACATCTTCGTTGAGATGATTAGTTACATAGTATTAAAAGGAAAGGGAGAGAGACAGACAGAATGACAGACAGAGAGAGACAGATAGAAAGAAAGGAAGGAGGAAAAAAAAAACAGAGAGAGAGAAAAAAAACTTTATTAATCTAGTTTTTATTGCAATTGTTTCGCGTGGGTACTCCGTTGGTCCACCATGACCCCTCCCCCCCCTTTCGGGAATAAAGCCGTTTCATCACCAGCGTGGGGAGGCTTCGGAAAATGTGGCGTTGGGATTCATTCCTGGGTGGTGGTGTTCGTGGTGTTGTTGGTGATTGTGTTCGTGCTACTTTTGTTTTTGTTAGTTTTGTTGTTTTTGTGTTTGCTGTTATTGTTGTTTGTATTTGAATTGTTATTACTGTTGGTATTTTTATATTATTATAATTGTTATTATTATTTATTATTATTATTGTTGTTCTACTTGTTATTATTGTTACTTTTATCATTGTTTCTTTTATTTTGTTGCTGCAAGTATTGTTGTTATTATTATTGTTATTATTATTATTAATATTATTATTAATACGACTATTATTACTATTACCATTAATATCATTATTGTTGCTATTCGTATTGTAAATGATACTTTCATTATTATTATTGTTGTTACCATTGTTATCATTATTAATACTACTAATATTACCATTCTTACGATACAATGATCATCGCCACTATCATTACCTATTTTTTAACGTTGAGATTAACGTTGATTGCATTGTTTACCGACCTGTTATTGTTATTTTTTAATTTTTTATTTTATTAGTATTATTTTTTTTTTATAAACGCCCTCGCCCTTGACATCGAAGCGCTTATTCATCAGCTGTTTTCTCACGGAGGAATCGAGTGTAAGTGGCTTTGAGGGGCAATAGCTGGAGGCATAACTCGTTAGGGAAGGAAGAAGGAGATGGAGAAGGAAGATGGAAAAGAGGAAGTAGGAGAAGGAGAAGAAGGAGAAGAAGAAGAAGAATGAGAAGAAAAAGAAGACGAAGAAAAAGCAGAAGGAGAGGGAGAAGGAGAAGAAGAAGAAGGCGTAGGAGAAGGTCGAGGTCGGGACAGGTTCATTGGGATCGGCTCCCTAAGTCTGCCGCAAAGTGTCCCGAAAATAGGAGTAAGCAAAGCAGTGACGTGTGACGTAATGACCTGTAATTGTCAGTGCTTGCGGCCTGCCTTGCCCTCCCGAGATGGTGCGGGCGAGGGAGGCCGCGAGGGCGTCTCGATGGCTAATGGGCTGCACTCGCGGGTCGCCTGGAATGGCATTTTATTGTTCTCCAGCCTGTCTCCGATGCTGCTTCTCGCCCAGGCTTCGATCGATGGGTCTGATTGGGGTCGCGCTGGGGTCTCACTGGGGTTTGACTGGGCTCTAATTGGGGTCTGATTGGAATCTGATTAGGGTCTCGCTAGTTCTGATTGGGTTCTCACTGGGGTCTGTTTGGGGTCTCACATGGGTCTGGTGGAGACGATTAGTGGTGCTTGGGGCGTGCGGTGGTCGGGCGTCGGCGAGTCCGGTGGCCTGCGGGTCTGCTCGGCCTCGTAGAATTTCAAGCACTCACATAAACTCTTCATTCTCTGCTTGCGCCTTACTTACGTGCACGCGCACACGGGAAGGCGCGTGTTTGTTTGAGCGAGAGAGTGAGTGAGAGCAAGAGGAAGAGAGAGAGAGAGAGGGAGAGAGAGAGAGAGAGAGAGAGGGAGGGAGAGGGAGAGAGTGTGAGAGAGACGGCCGGACCAATAAATTAAATCGGGCGCGATCCCCAGCTTCCATTCCGGCCAGGTTGTGTCGTCCGGCGCTGATATATGGAAAGACATTAAATTTTGTATTCGGCATTAGCAGGCTGATGGTGAAAAGTGGCCTCGACGCCCTTCCGTTTATATCAAATCCAGTCGTCTTTTTAAGCCATCACGGTTATCGGCGTTTGGACAGTCCCGTTCCTCCGTTATTTAGGGCTTGGCTGATCCACGTGGCTTTCGCTCCCATCTCTCGCCGGTGACATCACGAACCCTTCTCTCTTCTCTAATCGCTTATGCTAATCGCTGTACCATTGACATTAAGATGTCCTCGGCTCGTCTCGCCGCCATCGTTAGTGTTGTTGTTCTTGTAGGCGTCATCATCATCGTCATCGTCATCATCATCTCCGTCACTTTTGTTGTTGTCATCTTCGTCTTTGTTGTTATCGTCCTCCTCATTATCATCTCTATCATCACGTTATCGCCATTGTCTTCGCCACTGTCATGGTCATAATTATTACCATCATCGCCGATGTCGTTATCATCATCACCATCACGGTTATATTCAAATCCAGATAGGCATGTATTGTTATCACAGAGTCATCACCCGTGTCATGATACCGTCCCACTCACTATCATAACTCCCGAAGCCACAATTACCATCTTCATCACCGCCGTCATCTAGTATCATCATCACCGCCGCCGCCGCTCTCATCACCACCACCGCCGCCGCCCTCATCACCACCGCCGCCGCCGCCGCCCTCATCATCACCACCACCACCGCTCTCATCACCACCACCGCCGCCGCCCTCATCACCACCGCCGCCGCCGCCCTCATCACCACGCGGCGAGTCTCCTTGCCGCGGGCGAGACCATGTTTGCGCGAATGGAAAGTGGAGTTGAAACCCTTTTGCTCCGCGGAGGTTTCTTGGCTTCGAGGATCGGATTCCTTGCTTTTCGGTGGAATTCGAGGATTAGGGAATTAGAGGAGAGTTTGCTATTTAAAAAGAGGATTTTTTTTTGAGTGTGGGTGTCATTGACTTAGACTCCGTATCGGTTCGAACGAAATTTGGGAGAAAGGTATTTTGAACGGGAATCGAGTGCATGTTCAGAACTGTGTGCGCCGAAGTCAGGGTCAGCCATGTTCGTCGATGAGTTGAGACGCGGGAACACGAGCGCGAACGGTTTTTATTCTATTTTTTTATCTTTTTTTTTTTAATAATGTCCATCACATGTTGCAGAGGAGATAAATGTTAGATTTGAGTTAGTTTCGGTATAACAAGTTGTCGGGATAATTAACGGAGAGGATAAACTTGCTCCACCGAATATTTGCTTTGGATTTTGCTGAGGCTCGTCTTTGTTGGGAAGATATGTAGGCAGTGTTTGCATAGATGTGTGTATATATGTGTGTGTGTGTGTGTGTGTGTGTGTGTGTGTGTGTGTGTGTGTGTGTGTATGTGTTTGTATGTATGTATGTATGTATTTATTTATATGTACGTATATATACATATAGATAGGCGTACACACACACACACACACACACACACACACACACACACACACACACACACACACACACACACACACACACACACACACACACACACACACACACGCGCGCACGCACATACGCGAGGGAAAGTAAAATGTGCGAGCGAGAAACGTTTCGGTCGAAAATAATATCTTCTTAGATTAGTTAGGCGTCGATCCTTAGTTCCTGGGATTTCCCCCCCCCCTCCCCCGCTCAAGGTGCTACCCCCCCCTCCCCACCCCCCTGCTCAAGATGATTAAATTCAAATCAGCTGCTGCTTAGACCCCCCTCCCCCCACATCAAAAATAATGGGAAGAGTTCCGATTTTTTTTTTTTTTCGTGGTCATGGGAAGGGGGGGGGAGAGATCGCTCTGCACGCACACCTCGCTTGTCCTCCGTCGTTTCTTAATTACAAGCTCCTTCGTAAATGCGGGAACTAACCTATGGCCGATTTTTTCCCTCTCTCTCTCTCTCTCTCTCTCTCTCTCTCTCTCTCTCTCTCTCTCTCTCTCTCTCTCTCTCTCTCTCTCTCTCTCTCTCTCTCTCTCTCTCTCTCTCTCCTTTTTTTTCTTTTTTTTTCTTTTTTTTTGACTTGATGGAAGAAGTAGGTGCTTCCTTTCTATTTTTTAGACAGCTTTTATGATGTTTGTTCCGAAATATCTTGCTTGCGAAGTTATAATGGGAAGGGGGTTGTTGAAGTGCAAGAAAGGGGAAGTAGGGGAGGAGGTGAGGATAGAAAGTGGCAGGGAAGAAGCGAAGAAGAGAGAGGAGAGAGAGATATTCGCAGGCAGGGAGACGCACGCACAT